ACTAACCTTGAAGCAATCTCTGCTGCGGCTGCAGTTTGGAAGGTGGCAATTGGAGCAGACTCAAAGGCTTTCTGCGTGGACTTCTGTAGGCCTTTCACCAGCGGAGGCAGGACAGAGACCGTGACATATGCCTCTCCACTCAGGAAGATGGTGGCTTGCTCGAAGGGCTCAAGTGCTTGATGTAGGTCCCCCAGGATGCTCCATTGGTCAGCTCTCATATCCAGGTAGTCTTTTGCTGCCTTGGTGACCTCTGGGTCTGAGAGGGTTGCGGTTACAGGCCACCGCTGCTCAAGGAGGCGTTTGATCATGTAAAAAGAGCTATTCCATCTGATGGGTACATCCTGTGACAACTTGTGTTGTGGTGTGCCCATTTGCTCTTGTTTGAGTTTCAGCTTCAGGGTGGCGACCTCGCTGCTGTGGAAGTATGTGACGAGGCTCCTTGCTGCCCCAAGTGCTTTGTTGATTCGGGGCTCTTTCAGTGCATGGTTGACAATCAACTGGGTGGTATGGCCAGCACATCGAAGTGAGGCAACACCATGCTTCTCCTCAAGGATTCTAAGGGCTTTCACAACGTTCGCTGCATTATCGTGGACAATTGCCTGGACATCATCATGGAGAGAAAAGTCAAACTTCTCAGCGACCTCCTCAATCCAGAGAGCGATGTTGTCACAAGTGTGTCTGTCCTCAAGGGGCTTTGTGCAAAGAACAAATGAGACCATCTCCCAGTTTTCATTAATGTAGTGGCAAGTCACTCCAAGGTATGCCTCCGTGGCAATACTTGTCCAGGCATCGGTGGTGAGCGTTATCTTTGAGGACCTCTTCTTTAAGTTTCCCTTCAGATCGTCAAGAACACGTTGGTATGCTTTCTCCAGCTGCTTGGTAAACCACCACCTGGAGGGACATTTGAAGCCTGGGCAGGCATATTCAATCATATCTATGAAGGCTTCACCCTCAACGAGAGACAAAGTCCTCATGTCTTTGACGATCACCTGTAAGATAAAACAAATATATTATTATTATTATTATTAATAACATAGCATCTTTCATAGAGCCATGTTGCTTACAGTGTAAGAAGCTTAATTATTACACAATCCAAACAAGAACACAAATCAAAAGGCCAAGTGAAGAAACACCTATAAACTAGCTAATAAATCAGGACACATTAAATGGGATCAGGACAGCCATTCCCTCCTAAAAGATGCTCAAAGGAAGCAAATAATTACTTACTCTCAAGATTCTTTTGCTGAGTTCGGCTGCCTTCTGTGGAGTGCATTGCGCCTCTTTCCCAAGATAGGACGGCAAGGTTCTTTGCTTTGTCTTAGAAAACACAACAGCAATGAACAATGGAACAACAGCTATGACAGTGGGGCATATTAAATCTACTCTTAAACTCATTGCAGTGCTATGGTATAATTAGCTTACTTGAAGGCTAACGTGGTTACTTTTTAAACAATGTTAAGTCCAACAATGCATTTCATGTTTATCTAAAAGCTTGTAGAGTACTATATCTACACAGTGAAAATGTTTGGTCGTGCAACTCATATGAGCCCTATCACACTTGGATGTGCTGGTGCTCATTTTAATGTGTTCAATGCTCATAAAAACATTAATTAATTCATGACAACTGCGCACCAGCTTACGTGCAGCCCTGGCCTGGACATTGCTTGGCTCCGTTAGTTGACATACATTGATACTATAAGCTGACTAACGTTAGTCTAATGTTATGTTTGACTCGTAAACGACCACAACATGAGTTAGCTCTCTGTGCAGTTTGTTCGTTCCGGGTTAGTAGCGGCTAGATAGCGGTGTTCTGCAGACGTAAACTAGCTACCATTCCAGCCAACATTAAATGCTGACAAACGTTAACTAACACACAGCTGGCGCCGCTAGCTAGGTAGCTAACATTAACTACTAACCAACCAAGCACGAACAAACCGCACAGAGAGCTATAAGATAGTTAGCACTACCGAAGTGCACAGAACTCAAGCTGCACAACACACTACACAAACGTGGAATTAATTTAGCCAAAGCTAGTACTTACTTATCATTGTTCCCTCCACGAGAGACAAGGGGGTGCCTCCGCTTTAAATGCTCCAACATCGCTGTTGTGCTAGTGTGGTATGCCAACTCAATTTGGCAAAGACTGCAAATAACAATGCCTTTGCGTTTTAGACTAAATTTAAAGTATTCCCATGCTTTTGAAGACCTAGGGCGAGATGTTTTTGTTTGGGGGCTTTTGCAGGGCTTCGTGCGCAATCCTGTGAGGAGGAGGTGGTAGCCGTTTCAGTCTCCATAGTGTTTAAAGTGCGATTGCGAACTGCTTGTTGTTGTTTTGGGTGACCCACGTGTGTGTGGCGATGCGTCGACGAGGAAATATGTCGTCGACGATATTTTGAACGGGCACCGGCGGCCATGGGCGGCCACGGGCGCGTCACCCGCCCTCCCCGGGCACGCGCGGATCAGGTGTCCTGCCACTCCACAACCAAAACATCTCAAAATGTCAGACGTAACATGTACAGTATACACAAAGTCATCAATTTTGAAAGGGAGAGCCAGATTAAGTTCCCCTGCATCCTTCTTCAGGACCATAAGCACCTGTCTCCTAAAAGACACAACGTGCTTGAGGTGCGGGGATTTACAGCCCAGGGGGATCAACTTAATGGGAGACGCAAGCTGCCCGTATCGAGCCAGCTCTCTCTCCAACAACTCACTTTTTTTGCAGGAGTGACAAGGGGTAGCACGGGTAACAGCGTCCCTTTAATCACGATCCCGCTCTCCACCAGCTGGTTAGCTTTCTCAGTGCAGGCTAAAAATATAACCACTGCACTATTCATGGCATGCGGGAGGCAGATTTGACTCTGCCATATCCCACCACAGCCCCCACAGCCAGACCACACTCCTCCACCGACACACCGACAGGCAGGCCCGGCTCTAGACAATTTGCTGCCCTAGGCGATATTTTAGCTGGCGCCCCAGCCAGAGAATCGTACAGTAGAAAAGATAAAAATCAATAGAGTATCCAAGGAATACACAATAGAATGGGGGATGGACGTCACATCCTCTAGGGGGGTCCGGGAAGATTTTTTTGAACATTTTAAAGTAAAATGCTAAAATCTGGTGCACTTTGAGCAGAATTACTAGAGACTAGATCTACGGGGTACAACTTTAAAACACCCATATGAAAAAGATCGGTTTACATTTTAATAATCAAATAAGTATGTGAACATAACCAATAACCCATAGCCAATAACAAATAAATGTAACTTATTTTATTTTTGTTGTTCTTTCATATCTTATTTGACCTATTAACATTTATTCATGCATATTTTTTTATCTCTCCAACTTTAAACGATATTTTTGGTTTACTGTCCTATAGTATACATTGAAATGATTTCAAACCTGTTTATCCCAATAATTATAAAGGAGTGCCTTGGAAATATGTGTTTACATAAATTGTGATCAAAACGTTTGAGACCCACTGAGATAACTTAGACTAAAGTGAACTATCTAAACACTCAGAGTCCTTTACCTCACTGAGCTGTAGTTATCAGCCTCTCAGTCTGACTGGAGAGGACTCTCCCTCCACATTATTGTAGAAACATCTTCTTCTTATATCCGTTAGAGCAGCTAGCACCAGATTATAATAACAACAGGGCCGGTACCGGTGCTCTCTCCCTCGCTCGCTCCCACGCTCACTCACACTTTGGCTGTGAGCTGCGGGCGCCTGATAAGCCAACATCCCCATTAGTCACATTTAATCAAAAAAAATTGTTATGTGGGATGGAATTGCTACCTTCCTTCTTTATCTGGGCTTGGGACTGGCAAAGTGACCCAAAAGAGACACACTGCAAGCCAGGGCGGGATCAGCAATGGCTTTGCGCATGCACGATTAATATTCAGTCTGGACCTATGGTCTGGACGCGTAGTGTGTCTCTTTTGGGTCACTTTGCCACCTCTCTGCTCGAGTGCAGCTGCCTAGCAAGGCTGCCTGTGAGTGCTTTGGGACGGCGGAGGGGCTCAGCACCCGCTGCTCGTTGAGGAAAGTAACTGCGCAACGATTACGTGCTATCACGTCAGATTCTCCAAACACCAGAAAAGTCTCCAATAACACCAGAAAATGTAGCTGGATTTGTCGCTAGTCACTTTTGACAAAAAAAAGTAGCCGGAGGGGTTGGAAAGTCGCCCGATTTAGCGAGAAAGTCGCCAAGTTGGACTCAGTGTTTAGTTAGTTCACTTTAGTCTAAGTTATCTCAAACGGTTTGATCACAATTTATGTAGGCTAAACAAATATTTCCAAGGCACACCTTTATAATTATTAGGATAAATAAAAACAGGTTTGAAATCATTTCAATGTATACTATAGGACAGTAAACCAAAAATATCGTTTAAAACTGGAGAGATTAAAAAATATGCATAAATAAATAAATGTTAACTAGGTAAAATGAGATATGAATGAACAACAACAATAAAATAAGTTACATTTATTTGTTATTGGCTGTGGGTTATTGGTTATTAAAATGTAAACCGATCTTTTTCATATGGGTGTTTAAAGTTGTACCCCCTAGATCAGGTCTCTAGTAATTGTGTGCTCAAAGTGCACCAGATTGAAGCATTTTACTTTAAAATGTAAAAAGAAAAAAACAGGGACCGGCCCTGTTTTTTTCTTTTGTCACCCCATTTGAAACATGTTCCCACGGCTATGCATGGAAGCTGCTTTGGTGCACACATGAACACAGTATAAGGAAATAAGGTGTGAGATGCAAGTCCACATTTATTGATAAAGATAAATGTAATGTAGGGCGATGACGTCATAAAATATGATGATCAATATGACATTCAAAGCTTTATTTGGTAATGGAAGCTTTAAAATGACTACCTGCTTCCAAACCCTTAAAGTGTTTATCACTGCTGACGCAAAGACACCAACCTAAAGGATCTATAGGGTATGTGGAAAGAAGCTCAGGGACAAGGAACTAATTATTTGAATGTATGTCCATCAGGTGCCAGTGAACCCGTCTCTCTTCCTGATAAAGTACGATGGTTTCGACTGTGTTTATGGTCTGGAGCTCCATAAAGACGAGAGGGTTCAGGGCCTGGAGGTGCTCCCCGACAGACTGGGTAAGACCCCAAGCTGCTCAGTTAGTGTGCTAGTTTAGCTATAATCAGTCTTTTCACTTCTTGTTGCCGGTAAACAGTTTATTATCCATACCCCTTTTACTCTCACATGTCTAATGGAAAGTGCTGCCTGTAGTCTTTGTCTGTGTGTAATATGTCTGGATTTTCCTGGAGGCCCCTCACTGGTTGACACTGCTCGCCGAAAATAAGTGGAACTGGCGCAGAACATTTAGCTTATTATTGATGCTAACACATATAGCAATAATTGCCCCAAGCTTATGGATATACTTATTGGCATCCAGCTTAGCATGATGAAAGTGTGAAGCTGAATGACAAGCTGAGCCGGACAGGTCACATCCAGTCATTTTGTTTTCAAGTCCTTCTTGGTGGGGGGGGGGGGGCTTTATTCACTTTGCCTACTTAGTCAGCAGTGAGGCGACTAAAGGAAAAGTGCAGAAGTTTGTCACAGCGGCTCCCGTTCTCCCAGCAGCTAAGCCCCGTGCCTCAGACGGCAGCCTGGCGGACACCATGATTGGGAGAGCTGTGGAGCACATGTTCGAGACCGAGGAGGGCCCAAAGGAGGAGTGGAGGGGGATGGTGCTGGCCCGGGCCCCCATCATAACCACCTGGTTCTACATCACCTACGAGAAGGACCCAGTCCTCTACATGTACCAGCTGCTGGAGGACTACAAAGAGGGAGACCTCCGCATCATGCCTGACTCCAGTGAGTTCACTAAGCTGCTTCTACACAGTTTGAGGTGGAGATTTAGAGAGGAGGGCCCTTCATCTGTCCTGAGCATTTGGATAATATCTGAATGAGTATTCCACAGAGGTGGAAGAAATACTCAGATTATTTACTTAAGTAAAAGTAGTAATACTACAGTGTAAAAGTACTCTGCTACAAGTAGAAGTAATGCATTTAAAATGTTACTTAACTAAAGTACAAAAGTGTGCATCAAAATATACTTAAAGTACCAAAAGTAAAGGTATATATATAAATATGCACAAAAGCCCATTAAAGATCCATATGTTTTAAATGATTGTGTTATAATTATTGACGCATTAACCCTAAACCTAACCCTTTGAATTACTTTATATACTTCTGGGCAGCTTAACTAATTATGATATATGATTATGTATTAGTTGATTTACTTTTTGTATTGATAATCTAAATCTGCAAATGAACAAGTAACTTAATCTGTAAATTCAATGTAGTGAGTAATAAGAAAAAAGTCAAGTACAAATATGACAATGTTTTACTTAAAGGTGGGGTATGTAATTTATTTCAGATACACTTTTTGTTATATTCCATGGAATGCTCTTAACATTCCGATAGCAATGAATATATTAAATGCTTTGACAATAAATACATAAAAAAAATGTCATCTGTGGAAGCCGTAGTACTGTAAAAAGCACGACCAATCATTTTAGCTGGCCCGGCTAAAATAACTGGATGGCAGAGGCAGATTTTTTCCGGTTGTGTACTTTCAAATTCTAGCGCACTCGAGCTGGTTTCTCCAAAATTACATACCCCACCTTTAAGTGCAGTACTTGAGTAAATCTACTTAGTTACTTTCTTCCTCTGGTATTCTTATACCTTAAAAGGCAGGCGTGCTGTGGTAAAAAAATAATAATTCTATATGTATTATTTATTTTATATTCTGAACTTAAAAATGGTTATGCCAATTTAATGCATTCACTTAATTTATTTAAATGTTATGTTTACATTTTAGTTTTTGTTTAGAAGTAAGATGGCATAGAAATATCAATTCAGTCAGAAAGCTTTAATCTGTCCAGTTTCACATGGAGAGTCAGAAGCATGCGAGATGATGTTAATATGAATAATGTGTGTGTGGGCCTGCAGACTACAGCGCCCCCTCGGAGCGGGAGCCTGGGGAGGTGGAGGAGAGCCTGGTGGGGAAACAGGTGGAGTACGCCAGGGAGAACGGAGGCAAGCGGACCGGCATGGTCATCCACCAGGTGGAGGCCAAGCCCTCCGTCTACTTCATCAAGTTTGATGACGACTTCCTTATCTACGTTTACGACCTGCTCAAAACTTCGTAAGACTTTGCAGGCATCTCGTCCTTTTAATTCCAAAACGGATGAAGTGTGAGGAGCCGAGCTTCACTCCCTGAGGTTCAGAACAGAGGAGAAGCCTTCAGCCTGTTTGAGATGAAGGCAGGGGAATAAAGGAGAGTCAAAGATCTGTCTGCCTGGGGTTTTTCTACAAAGACAGGTATGATTGGGATCATCTCAACAGCACTGTTTTAATGAAGGAGATAACACGTCTTCACATGGCGTGGTTCCATTCCGTCAGTTCATTTCAGTGTTGCTGTTGGCCCACTGCCTTGTTTCCTTTGATTTGTATGTTTTAAATGTATGTTAATAATGTGTTATTATTGATGGAAACCCTGACATGGTGTGCTTTTGTCTTCTTTTGGCACCGTTCTTTCTCAGGTAATATCTCAGAGGTGTTTTGTCAATGAGCACTTCAGTTACATGCAGCGGTTAAGGATGGAATCATCTGGTTAAGAACTGTACAGCCAGAGAGTTTGCAATTGTAAAATATATATCTCAGTATCATTATCCAATTATTTTAATGTAAGGCACATGTGTCAAACTCAAGGCCCGGGGGCCAAATCAGGCCCGTGGTGGATTTAATTTCGGCCCGCAGGATAATTTTTAATTACTATTAGATCTGGCCCGCCGGTATATTGCACGCACACCTTCACTCAATCCTGAGGATTTCCTCAGCTCAGAGCCTGAGCCCAAACATTGATGAACTTGCACCCAAGATGAGATGCCAAGTATCTGGCTTGAACTAGCATCACAGAGCAGCACACTGAGTTTCAATGGATGTTTCCTTCTGCACTTTTTCTCTCACGACAACAGGGCATGTTTGGTTTTTTCTTTGAGGGAAATAGTTTTTTTGAAGCTGTTGTTGGCCTGTAGAAAAATGTAATCATAAGAAATGAGTCTGGAAAAGCTGCAGAAAGAGCCATAAGAAATGAATGCAACTGATTATTTAATGTTTCATGTTGTTTTTATAGGCAATCATTTAAGCTTTGTTAGTTCCAGGTTTAATATGTGCAATAAGTTCATTTCAATAAGTTCTGCAATAAACATTGAACCAGTCCGGCCCTCGACTAGTACCCATTTTTTTTATTTTGGCCCACTGTGTATTTGAGTTTGACACCCCTGATGTAAGGGATCCTTAAAAAATGGCTGTGAGGTCCATATTGTATTTATTAATATTTGCAATGGATAATATATTATAAAACAAAAAATCGTCTTTGATAACCCAGCATCAAGCCCGCTCTAAATAAATGCATTAAATTATTGATTCAACATTCCACAAGGCCGCGCTTTAATACTGACTAAAGGAGCAGTTCAACACTGAAATGAGAAGACTGCTATCATTCTCTTTGTTTAAATCAAACTCCACCAGAGTGAACACATCAATGTTTGTTTACAGTTCCTTTGGAGTATGACAAAAAAAAAGTTATATTGGCCTAAATTTGATAAATGTCCTCAAGTGATGTCACTCGAGTCAGAGGAACCTGCTGTACACTTCCCACAAAACTCTAAATTGTACAATTTAGTTTCTGCACGATAAAAGAAACAGAGTGAGTTTATCAGTTATAATGCAGTCTCTTGAAAGGATCTATTAAAAATATATTATATATTGTTTTCTACTAGCTACACACTCTGCTAGAGGTGAGTCGCATTTTTTACAGGCTCCCACTACCTGTTAGCATCTAGCTATCCTGCTTACAAACATTTAGCCACCCCTGCTTGTACAACATCTTGACGTATCCTTTCACACTCAAGAATGCCATCAAAACACCCTGAGGATTATGTGCTACTTCAAAGAGCTAATACACAGATAACAGACCTTAACCTGTTAAAACCCATCCCTGTTTTTCAGGTCTCAGGCTCGAAAATGACATTCCCAGAACAAATGACCATATCTTCCCTTCTAAAAGGGGAAAATTAATAATCTTTTTTCTCAAAGTAATGATTAACCTGTGAGTTGGATGTAGAAAAGTCAGAATCAATATAGATGTTTTTTATTTTAAAGAAAATTCAGATTGAACATAGTAAAAAAACTGTAAATTATAGTGTCCGTCCAAAAATTCTTTTTTACTTATAGTGAAAACCACCCTTGGATGATGGTAAGGTAGACTAAAAGCTTTAGAAATCCAAAGTACAACATATAATAAGTACCCTGTATCAAGATTGATGCAAAACAAGTGACATTTGACCTTTTTAGAGAGGTTTAGCAAAAAGAACTCCACCTCTGGGGTGATTTGGGTGGAAATGGACGTTTTTGTCGTTTCTCTGGAACCCATTGGTCGATTTTGATGATTGACATCTCTTTTGAACCGTTAGAGCCAATAGAATCGAAGGGGAATTTCCACATACACACCAACATTACCATTGTGAAGTGGGGGCTATGCGCATGCAGTTTCCCCAAATCGAAACCTGTCTCACGCTCTGAAATCTGAAAACTTAAAAGTAGGTTTATTGCTTATGGATTATCAGAAATCATTTCAAAGTGACACAGACACATTGGATTAACCTATGGATTAACCTTCAGCAGCGTTTTTATCGTTTTAATGCCATTGAAGACAACTTTTGATCAGACAACGACAAAGGTAAGACATATTGCCGTTTTGGCTACCTAGCGCCACGTGTTGTGATGTCTGTTTTTGTTTATAATGTCGCGAGTTCTTATCATGGAGTGATGATGTATATATCTATCGATTCTGTTGGATGTGCAGTTACGATAAGTAATAAGGGTGTTATACCGTGTTTTCTGTGCAAACGGCGTTAGCATTTCTTCGCACGGGGCCAATTCAGAGGCTCAGCGTTAGCTTTGTGTTTTTTTTTGCAAAAAAAAAAAAAAAAAGATCAGTTAGCTGAGTTTCTTCCCGTTACATGGATATGAAACATTCATAGTTTATTAAATATTAAGAAGCCCTCAGACGCTGTTTCCTGCAGATGATGCGTTTTTCCCCCCGGTGGCGGGGGGATGGGGTTTAACAGGTTAAGGAGGACATCCAACGGCTTTCTGACGAGCTGAAAGAAAAATACTCTCGTGTCCGGTCTCATGGAGGTGGCATCGGTGCAGTCTAAACAGCTTGCCTCGTTCAGTGCTATCCATGACACAGTTCTGTGGGATCCTTCCACCTGTCCATGGCCTTCCGACTGCTCAACACCTGGCCATCAGCAGTCGTGGTCTGAGGTGGTGCGCAGGAGCTTATTGAATGGGGTGACTTCACCGCCTCGCCTAAACCTTCAGAACCGCTTCACGACCCTGTCTGATGATCCGGCCCATCCAGCTGATGCTCCCGCGGCACTGGCCCGTCCAGATCTACACCCTGCCGACACTGCAACAACTTCTGCGCCGGTAGCCAACAGCGTTTGTGCTCCTTCCCAGGCCACTGTGGAGTCAACTCGGCATCCCTCATCCCGTCTGGCGACCTCCTCTTTACGTCGTAAACTCCTCAAAGAGGCCGTGCTGAGATACTCGGGAAGTTTTCCGGGCCCTCAGCCGGCAAGGAAATCCCCTCCCAGCCCAGCTGTTACTGTCTCACCACAACACTCTCCTGCTCGGTCACCACACCCTCAATCACCGGCACCTCCTCGTCCCCTTTTCGCCCCAACCACATTATTAATCGGGGATTAACCAGAAACATCCGATTCTTCAATGCAGCCACACGCTGCCTCCCTGGAGCCACAGTCCCGGTCATCCTGGATAAACTCCCGGGGCTGCTGCACTCACTCCCGTCCTCTGTCAATCGACTAAGTGTCCACGTTGGGTCGAATGATATAGCCCGCCAGCAGTCGAAACGTTTTAATCTTCTACGGAGCTGTGAAAAGTCGTTTTTTATCTCAGGTCCGATCCCAACGCTGGCCCGCGGAGCAGGGCGTTTCAGTAGGATCCTCAGCCTCCACACTTGGCTCCAATCCGCCTGCAGAGCTCACAATTGAGGTTTTATTGACAATTTTAATCTATTCTGGGACCGACCCGCCCTCTTCGGCACTGATGGAATCCACCCCAGCAGGTTGGGTAGCCACATGCGAGCGGCTAACATGCAGCACGCTGTTCAGACGTCTCCCTGACTATTTCCACTCCATTCCCACACACCCCCCTTTCTAGCAGTGTCATCTCAGGACTTGGACTCGTGAATTCTCGCGCACGATGACTTGGACTCGGACTCGTGAATTCTCGCGTACGATGACTTGGACTCGTGAATTTTTCCCCCCACGATGACTCGGACTCGACTTTTACATTGACGCTCCGACTTGAACTCGGACTCGAGCAAGTTTTCTCTGGAGTCTGATGTCCTCTATCCTGGCGTGTGCACCTGCGAGGCGAGTTCACGTACTGGGCCCCGCTATTCCAGTCTAAAGATATCTAGAGACACCCCCCGCATCGTGCTGTATGCTTTCACACATTCTGCTTCCACATTGGAAAAGAGCAGCGCAAAATGCTCGTTATGTGGAAAAAGGATTGAAGAGAAGGCTCCGTAACACATTACTCTAAGGATCGAGTTCAGAACTGTCTTGAACACTATCATCAGAGTAACGTGATCTAATCAATAAATAAAGATTCTGCCGATAACACGAAAGCACATGGCTACTTAACATGCAGAATGTCATTTTGCATGCTAAGTAGCCATGTGCTTTCTGGGGCTTAATCTTTATTGATAGAATTTAAACATTCTCTATAATAATTGTAGCGTCCCCGGCTGAATGATGGTCAGACTCTGATGGTATCTGTTTATTGCACACCCTTGCTTTTATACAATCATTACCAACGTAAGAGCTTGTGCCCTTATCAGCCAGGTGCTAAAAATCCAATGCAACTATTTAGTATATGTTAATTTATTCGTCATCTATCCGTCATTATACATGTGTGTTTACACTGCTCCGTTGACCATTGACTTCCGGTAAAAGTTCTTTCAAAATAAGAGTCCCGATCGTATTACTATCAAAATAAAAGTGCAAAACGAAGATATTGGCATACAAATATAATCACTTCTCTAAAGGGTAACTCATTTTAAATATAGTTAGACATATTAAAGGTCATTTACAATAATAAAAATAATAATAATAATAATATTAATATTAGTAATAAGCTTTATATGTGTATAGCACCTATTACAAGAATTGTAGCCAAACTCGCTTCACAGCAGTTCAATAGACAGATTAGTATAACATGACAGGATAAAAGCAATGTAGAGGAGCAGCTACATTTCAACACATATATCCACGAAGATGAATACATGAAGACTTGTGACTCTGACTTGACTTGGACTCTTCTTGGGTGACTCGGACTTGGACTCGGACTCGAACACAGGTAATGATGACTCGGACTCGACTCGGACACTCCTTGGGTGACTCGG